ATATAAAGATGCTGCAATAAAATATCAAAAAAGCAAAAATTTGACATGTGACAAATGTTTGTTTTTTTTCTGTTTTTAATTCTTCTTTGTCTTTTATTTATAACATAAAACTTTCAGAGAATTTTGTGCACTCTTTTACGCGTATTATCTCTTAAGCAATAACTTTCAACAGTTACGTGTTATTCTTTCTCACGTTCTCCCGTTTAAAAATATCTCTCTTCTGCGTGACGTCCGCGTTAAGTATAGACGCTCGGGAGATCGCTCGGCATCTGTATCTGTCGTGAAGATCAGCGGAAATGAGGCGTCGCGGCTTCGCCAACGACATAAATCCCATCGTTGGGTAGCTCAAGTCGAAGAAATACTCGATTTTACGGTCCCGTCGAATTCAATGGTACAAGAGTTACGACGCACCGAATGCATCGCAGTACAGAACGGTATCGAACGTTAGCGAGGGGGATGAATCAGAGACGGTCAACCCCCTAAATGACCGAAGATGATCGTTCGAAGCGAAGAGCTTTTATTATTTTTCCTTCTTTTTTATTGCGCATTTGCTGTCATCCGTGTCGCAAAAGAACAAAGCGAGGGAATATTGTTACTTTAGCTACAGATCTGGCGAAAGTTTTTCTCAAAGTTTCAAGAGTTGGAGTGCTAACTTTTCTTCGCCAAGAAATTTATTCGCCTGTTGATTTTTCGATCAAGCGATAAAAGATTTATATAAGATGTTTCGTAACACAAACTTGTTTTGTCTAGAGAGCTGTAGCTTATGTCTGATACTAGATATAAGTATTATCTAGAATACACAAGTATTATTGATTGCGAGAGAAAATCTTTGTTTCTTTGAAGCAGAAATATGTTTTTTTCTTCTCTGTTGACAAATTACTAGATAAAGACACTGGAAAGAAAGGGGTTTGTATAATCTTTTACAAATCGTCCAAACAGATGCAGAAAATATGACAGAGAGAAAGAAAGAGATGACGCCAGTGGCTGCCACCCCCGAGCAAAGTGCTAGTAAAGTCAAAGGGACAACGTCACATCCTTTCTGGTGGGATATTCTTCTCTACCTACCCCTACGGTGACTTTTGCAGAGCCCGTCATCATACGCGCAAACAATGGCTCTTTCGCGAGCGACTGCGTGAGTCGCGAAAAAGTGAGACAGCCGTGCGGAAGGACCCTTTGTCTTTGGGGTACGAACCGGGGGGTACTTTTGAGGGGACCGGCTCGAAGGAGAATGGTCCACGCTTCGCCAGCCATGTCTCCCTCACTTACTAAGAACGAACGCGAGCCTTTTGTTTTACGTTCAAGGAAAAAATATTACTTGGAGAGAAACTCTAACAGAGTAGAAATTACGACTAGCCATTTTGTTCAAGAGTGTCTTTATATTCGCCATTTTGTTTAAGAGTGTCTTTATATTCGCGCTCAGTTCTCAAACTTTTTTTCTGCTTATTGAAAAGATAATAAAGTTTTTGATTACTTTTTTTTAACAAACACACACATCTTTCAATAATGTTCGAGCAATGTTTTTTTTTTTTTTTTTTTTTAAATTGAAACAGCGTTATCTGAAAATTGTTATTTCAATGCAACTTAGAGTGCGAACTCAAGTTCAACACACAATGAGATACTAAAGCGACAACACGCATCAAATGCCGCAGCCTTCCGCGGTTCTATTCTCTCACCTAGTTGTAAACCAACAAAGCTGCGAGCGAGACAATAGCACCGCTGCACACCAAGGCACTTACATGACAAACTAGAACAAAGTAGCGTGACACTTCCAGTAACAGAAGCGTCATCGGACAGAGATACGTCGGAATGTCGGCGTTGCTGGCGCGCTGTCTATCTGTCCTCGGCAGACAATACGAGATCCGAGGACAGACGTGGCCGAACCGCGCCCCTTTCATGTACCGCTGATTGATACCCTCGGTCCTGTCCGACGTGGGGATGCGACGGTAATGTCGCCCTCGTTGCCAGTCCTGCGTACGGCCACATTATCAACGCCAGAGCCGTGATGTACCGATTAACCGAGAGCTCAATGCTCAACATTGTCGAAAATGTTGAGTTGCGCGCTCGCAGTTTCGATGTGTGTCGAACCAGATGAACCATAAAGCGAGGACATGCACCATTATCGTGCAAAATCTCATGTTTGAAACGTTATTTAATACAAGTAAGATCTCTTTATTTTTTTAACGTAAAACGTTAAATTAATCTTAATTATTTAATTTTGTCTAATTTTATTTTGATGAATAATTATGCAATAGTGTATTTTCATCTGTGTGAACATACAATTTTTGTGTCTCTTTATCTAGCACACACACATACATACATAAAGAGTTTCCATGGTATAACAATATTTTTTAAGAACTATGAAAATTCGTAGCTTTTTTTATCTCCACACGACGAAACGCTCGCGATAAGACACGTGTCTATTTTATGTAACTGCGCATCAAGTTTGTTAGAGCACGTTGAAGTGCGGTAGCGCTATTTCCGCTTGTCGAGCGTTGTCGTTGGACGACGATCGGTGGGTATTGCCGTGCACGAAGTCGTGATAAATGTCGTTTCCTTTCGCATCGAGCCAACGCGAGGCGGTGATGTTTCAAAGGGCTTTTCCTGGCAAAAGGGCGGACCCGCGGATACGCCGTTGCGAAGTTATCCGTCGCTTCTTGTTAAAGTGACGTTCGCGAGAGACGATCAAAGGCGACATTCCTCGCAGGCAAGAATCTGCGGAATTGCTTCCCGGACGCAAGCCGACAAGCCGTGCGTGACGATTTGGCGAGGAAATTAGCGGGTCGTCGCCTACGTGCTTTCTTGTCATCGACGTCGCGTCGGCGTCGTGCCGCGGGCGTCCCCCGAATTCGCGTGAGTGCCGTTTTAATCGCGCATAAAGCGCCGGTTATAACGCGAATTACGTCGGGGAAAGGACTTATCGATCGATATGTACGCGCTGATGACATGCGAGCCACGTTTCTTTTGAAACGCTTATCTTTACTCTGTAAAATACACCTCCAACACTTGTTATCACGCGTTATCGCTCGCTTATATATTGACGACAACAACATTATTTAATCAATATTTTTATTAACAGCCACAAATAAACACACCCATATATATACTGTGTTGCAATGTTTTTGTAAAAATATAAAAACGTGACATGTTAATTTTAAGTGACCAGAGAGAAATTGCCATAAAAATGGTTAATTAACAATCAAATCGAATAATTCCAAATATTGATGCCTTTTTGCATATTTTTCATAACTCGCAGTTTTGCGCAGTAAAAGATAAATTAATCTGTTTACACACATACACATTTATTATTTCCACGTTATTCACAATTTTCCCAATATCGGCTTAACTGTTTTCGATTATGTAAACTTCACGCAGCACGTAAGCGGTATTCAACCACTCCAATAATTTGTTGAGAGCCGATACTGTAATCTGCGATTGAAATCATGCAATTGCGAGAGATGTGTATCTTTGCGCATAATATATATATTGTATATATATATATATATGTATACATATATGATATGTATGTGATATGTTTAATATATACGTCTGTGAAAAGATATTGAAAATCAAATAAAAATTGCAAAATTTTAAAATATTTTTAACTACTGCGCAAAATAAAAATTCTCTGTCATTACTACACACTTTGCTGATGCCATTTTGTGACGGGCGAAAATTTTCATTATACATGTTATACACTTTCACGTGCGCTAATAGCGTATAATGACCGCAAAGATAATCTGCAATGCCAGATTGATTAATTGCCGTTGTACCCATTTTGTGGTCAGGATTATACGCCAAATTCTCTTCTCGCTCGCGGCAAAATTTTATCTATATAAAAATGGACGGGATCAAACAAACAATGGTATATCAAAAAAAAAAAAAAAAAAATACAAAGTAGTGCATTACTTATTAAAAATATTCTTTTGATGAGCGCTCAAAAATAATTGTTGATATATAATAATGCTGTTAGACTATCATAGAGCATCCTCGTTAACGAAGTTTACGAAATCGTGCGACGAGATTCTTGTTAATGACGCAAAGGCGTCTTAAACATTTTAGCCTGCAAATGAGCAAACTTCTTAGACAACATTGGAACAAGTTATAATACATCAAAAGCAACATGAATATTCGCACTGACGCTTCGCAAGATGTCCTTCTTGTAATGCAAGTCAAGATTTATATATATATATATATATATGTATTCTCTTGATATTGTGCGTATAAATTTCAGCTTTTCAACATCCGAAATCCGTCGGTTATGCATATTAAAATAGAGGGGCATGCCAAAAGCAGATTATGACCACAGAGATAATCCGCCGCGCCTGATTGATTCAATGCGAATGCGTTCGTTGCATAATCAAGGGTACGGATATTGATTGGATTGTTCGTTATCTAATGTGTAGCATGAGTTGAGAGTTATAAAATATTGACATATGTTTTGAAGACGAAATACTGAAAAAGTTGCAATAATGTAATTTGAAATGTAATTCAATATATTTTATTTGCAGCAAACATTTAGACACAGTCATCTATAAGACTAATTTAAAAATGTTAAGCTTCAAAGATGTTAATTTTATTTTGGCTTGTAATATATTATGATTAATGACTACACAACCGTTGCTTTTTTCAATCGTACGATCTGATATTTGGAAAACATTTGCCTTCCTTCACGCACCATTACACTTGAACTGTTACAGTTCAGTGAACGTCTTTTGCCACCGACTATTTCTGACTTTCACGATATTGATCTTAGCCGCGATCTCCTCGGAAAGTTCAAAGAAAAATTTATGGCATTGCAAGCTCCTTCCCTTCTTTGAATATTTATGAGATTTTACATTTGTTCCGCATATTCAATAAGCGTAAATGATTTATAGAAACTCGAAACAATTTAAGGAAGTATAGTTGTAGATTGAATTCATTTATTCACTGTACAAGCGCACATTTATAATTAATCGAGCACAAATGACTTGAAAACGTAATCGTGGACTTGCAAGTAATTTCGTGTGAAGATTGATAAAATATAAAATTTTATAATAGAGAATAATAAAACTGGCGCAAGATTTTTTCCGTCAACTTGTCAGTCGACTGAAATTTTAGACAACATTGTTTAGATACAATGTTGATGCATTTTGAGAGGTGCGGCAAACCATCGAAGAACTTTCTTCGATCGCCGATAACGCCACGGTCTCTGGATCTCATTGATATCATTTGCAGATCTCGCTTTGCCCAGAGTAACATTGAATGACTTTTTCAAAACGGATGACGTAATGTACGGATTTATCTAAAATTACAAAAATTATAAATAGTAATCGCTTAATCATATACTTAAATTGATGGTACATTACCGATTCTACGTTACGACGTATTCGAATATAATGCCACATTTTTTGCCGAGTAACATATTACACGCAATATCATAGTGTAATTAAGTCACATATTTTTTTACATATCCGCAACTTGTAAACCTGCTGTACGCACGGATATGCTGAAAATACGGCGGGGAGAATAATGCAGGATGCTAGCGTACATCTCATAGCGTCTAGCTGCACCTCTCATATATCACCATCTGAAGCATCCGGTATTACTCTCATACGCTGTAAGCACGCAATATCCTGCCATGTTACAACTAAGTAAATATTATCGAATACTCCCACGAGTAGCAAGATTAAAGACTAAAGCCGATCGAACGCAATCATTCGTTCGTCATTAAGTAACTTCTAGGATGCACGAGCCGTGTATTAAAATCTACAAGATTTATTATAATAATAAGATTTCGATAAAACGTACAGATATGTATTGCAAGATGAAAAAAAACAAGATTACTTAATTAATATGTATACGCGCCTGACGCAAAAAAACATCTTACGTGGTAATGCGCCGGGCTTGGTCCTTTGATATCCTCTTTCCTCTCACGAGGAGCACTGCATATCACGCCGCTCTTCACATTCTTTGATATGTCTCCCCTGAGATCGTAATGCGACGGTCCTGCGCACACGCGGCAATAATGAAAAAGCTTTCCACCCTCGTATGATTTTTCTCAGTTATCCGTGCTTCGCTTCATACCTGCAAATCGATCTGTACATAGTACATGGAAATCGACGTCTTTTGATATCATCGTAGACCGACTGGCACGTGAGCCGAAGGGTGGAGCTAATCGTCGGCAAAGGAAATCGCATCTATCACGATTAGCCTTGAAGGCTGATAAAGCTTCGTAAGCACCTGGATCCGGTATATCGTCCTATCGAAAATAAACAATTCTTTATTTGCACAAATGAATACTGATATACATTGCTTTCGATCTTACAGCATTATTTCCAGAAACAAAATTTTTTTTCATTGTTTTTTCACGAGATTTTCACGGAGCTTTCTTTTATTAGAAAATGACTGAATGTTTCTATCCTGAGAGTTAATCCTATCTGACGAGATTACGGAATCGTGAAATTTTTGGGAAATACAGCTCTTTTTCTCTCGCGCGCGCTTTTATAATTTAATCATTTAGGATAGACGCCGGCACACAAATCTAAATGCCGATGTTTCCGGCCATCCGCAATTCGCGCTACAGAGACAGAGACACCAGGGCAAGGGATTGGCTCGAATTTCCGGCTCAGCGAGCCGGAAGTGATTTCTCTGGGCAACATCGGCCACGCGCCTCTGCGTGGAAATGACCTGCACAGCTCAGCAAAACGTCATTTCCGGCGTGTACTGTCACCGGCTCTTCCCTACGTTATGCAAATACACAGCGCCTCTTTAAATTGGGATTCCACTGTTTTTCCCCGTTAGAAAAGATATTCACCGAAAGGAGAAAGAACACCGCACTGATGTCGCTCGCAATTATCGCCAAGTGATTCGATCATTCCGACAAGAAACTGTCGCGGTTAGTCAATAACCGCATTAGATTACCGATGCAGGTGTGCATCATTTGCAGATTTCGCTCACGGTTTCACACCGTTTCGACAGTTTAAGTGAGAGGCCAGCTAATCGAAACTACACGAACTCATCGAGTACAGCGGAATCAGCAGCAAGTCGTTCGGCACTGACGATTCTATCCTGGGCTATCTACTGGCTGCGGCATCGAATCTCGTCCCGACGCTCTCGATTAACGGCCAGATTGGATCCTGGCCTCGAATCGCCTCGGGTACAGATGCATCGGCTCGATCCGCCGCCATTAATTTCGTCTCTGGCTCTCCTGATTACCTTGCGCTTCCAGGATTACTCGGGTTCACGGTGATCTTCCGAGCAAGCCGAAAGAATCTTCGGACGCTCGGTCTGACCACAAACTTATTGTGACTACTAGCTCGAGTTTCTCACCGTCTTGTAACACAACAGGGGTAATTTCTATTTCTCTCTCTGTTTATCACAGTGAATGCCGCAACACTTTAATTAATTTGTCACGACGCATTAAAATGCACGATCAAATGAAATAAAATTCTATCGCTTCTGTGTAATTATAACGTCTCTCTCTCTCTCTTATTTAAAACAATTATTTTTTTAAATTCTATCTTTCTTATAGTAATTGGTATCTACTAAACTAATTAATTAAGCGATTTAGAACATCTCTAGACAAATTGAACTAATTATATACCTGCAACACTTACTTTACAAATTTTTGGAAATCTATCTACTCTTGATTTAAAGACTGCGTGATGCACCGCAGATTTTTCTTCATCCATTACACTGTATTTATCAGTCAACGTTGATTTATCATCGTCGTTTATCGATGTCGGTGTTTTATGAACATCGAGATAAGTAATCGGTTTTCTCTTCCTACCTTTGTAACGTTTTACAGACTCGAAGGCTATATTTCCTACGTCAGTGTGATAATCCGCAGGTCCTACATCGTAAAACTATAGTTTTATTGCGGATATAATATAAATATATTGTTAATATTAAAGCTACTTAATTGGAATTTTTGAAAAAGCAGAGTCTAATAATTATCCAAACGACATTACCTGGTGTTGTCATAACCTCGAGTTTCTGGAAACGAGTATCGAAAGAACCGAAAGGTGCATTGAGAATCGAACCGAAACAAAATAGTCGATTTACGATTTCATATGTTCCAGGTCCAGGCGTTTCTGATTGAAAACCGTGCTCGAATCTCTTAAATATGAAAAAGCAATTATACGCGCATAGAAAAATGCAATATCAAAAGATTGAAATCACATTTTACAGACAAACTCACTTGTGTGGTTTGATTAAACGGTGGCGGTGCCACCATATACGGATTACACTTGCATCGAATACGTTGGTACCTATCGAACACGCTTCTCGGTGGGCCGTAACAATTGGGAGCTGGAAAATTCTTCGCGAGAAAAAAAACAGATTTTCATAAGGCGATTCGTACTTAAACAAAGACAGTTTTCCAGTTTTTGCGAGGAAACTAGTGACGCGAAAGTTACAAAGCATGTTCTTAAAATTACTTGGCGCAATTTTTGCTGGCACAAAGCTTCCAAGAAACGCGGCTGCTTAGCGGCGCCTCTTTTCGTCTCTCTGGTTTTCTCGGCGCGGATTTGAGCAAGGCTTTTCTTTGTTTCATGTTCGTAGTCCCCGGGACCCGGAGTCACGGAAGTCCGTTCGTCATCTCTACCCTTCATTCTGCTCCAAAAGTTTCCTTTGTACTTCAGAGTGGTAAAGTTTGTCTCCTGCAGTATGAATAATCGTTTCGCGAGATCTTTCACAAACAGAAGGCATAGAATTTTTACCCCTCGGGGAATATCGTAAAAATCGGTCGGTTCAAGCTTGATGACCGGATTTTTCACAAGTATGCCATGTTCATTGTAGTCGTATCCGTAGACATCGCGTTTCGAAGGAACGGCCGGGCCCGACGTTATTGTCGATCGCGGAGGACGAATCAGCCATAGCTATATGGATGTGACAAATAGTTACAACAAATACCTGACTTTTATATTAATTTAAAATTTGAAATATTTAATTGTGCACTACATTACAAAAAATTAATATTGCATATAACACTGTGCTGTGTTCGCATATATATTTGCAATAAACTGTAACGAAGAAAAAAATGCAGCAGCAAAATAGTTTACTTTGCCTGCAGGACCTCGCCAAGTGCCCGAATGAGATCTTATTTTCCGTGGTGTTTCTTTAAATAGATCGTCCGGCAAGGTGTATTCTGCCGGACTTGGTCCTTCGTGCACCTTTTCTTTAAATCTAACGTCAGTGTAATCGTGGCTAACGCCGCTCTATAAATTATTGCGTTTCTACAAAACGTTATGTATTTACGTACACGCTACCAAGCGCGTGCAGAAGAATTGCAAATAAATGAGATATAAATAGAGAAAATGCACGTATACTGGTATATGTTTTCGTGGCGCCTCTATATTGTAAGAGCCGGGACCTGGAAACTTATGCACATCTTTTGGTATGCCGACTGTCTGCCTGCTAGTTCCGTTCAAAAATGGATAAGCGTTGTCTGTGGAACATGGTCGTGTAAAAGTGTGCAGTATACGCGAGTCAATGCAAATTTCACGAGAAAATTCACGAATGTTGTGCATTACGAGAGTTTTACCCGGATCTCGAGGTGGCTTTGACAGTTCCGATATATCATAAGATCCCGGACCCACATAAGCGGAAGTTGACGTTCTTGATTTCACAAATCTCTCAGTTCTGTCAAACGCCATGCTTGGACCTTCGAATGCACGATTGAGAAAATAAAGTTTCAAGTATAAATTTGACTTATAGCTGACGTATAACCTATAAGTGTGTAAAAGAGAATACAAATGTTACGCAGCAAGTGTATTGTAAAAAAAAAACAAAAAAAAACAAATAATCAATATTCTTTGTACAATATTTTTTAAAAGTAAGAAAAGTAAACTACATACCCTACCCTAGGTAATTAATCACAGAAAGAAAAAAAAGAATAAATTACACAGATAATAAACCATGTTAAAAATATATATGCTTTAATAAAGTATAGTTTTCTTAGTTTTTATACTCTCTAGAATGTCAATCCGAGTACCTCCAACGATTCGAAACAATTGTTATTCTCAAACTGTTATTTTTGTTATTTTTTTAAATTCTTTCAATATTTTTACTAATATATTTTAATATATTAACGACATACGTCAGTAAGAAAACTTATTTCACACCAATTATCTGTTTTAGGCGCACATTCAAGTAATTCGGGAAGTTCGATAATTGCAAGGAGGCGGAAGGAGAAAGAGGAAAATCATTCTGGATGCCACGCGTAATTTGAACTACTAGCACAACACAGGCGCGCGCTACGCGCACGCTATTGTTGTTTTTATTTAACGTGTTGTCAGTAAACACAACCTGTCACCGCGATGACAGATAGTATATACGTCTTATAAACTATATAATACACATATGAGAAATGTCAGAAATAACGTATGAAAATCGAACTCAAAAAATAGTGAGAGAGAGAAGTGGAAAAACAACACGTAACTAAAGTCACGTGACATGGAAAAGGGTAAAAAAGAGAATATTATATATATTATATGTAATATTCTATATCTATACATAATACACACACATACGCATATATGTATATATATATATATATATATATATATACCGTAATCACGTGACCGAAGTCAGTAACACCGCCGCGGTCGCGCGGCCGAGGTCAGTAACTCCACCGCAGTCACGCGACTGAAGTCATTGACCCCGCCGCGGTCGCGCGACCGCGGTCAGTGACCCCGCCCCCCACCAAGGCCGCGCGCCCGCGGTCAGTGACCCCCGCCCCCCACCAAGGCCGCGCGGCCGAGGTCAGTGCCCCGCCAAGGCCGCGCGGCCGAGGTCAGTGACCCCGCCAAGGCCGCGCGGCCGAGGTCAGTGACATTACTGTAGTATGTATATAATACATATAATACAATATGAAGTTATAATATTTTAAATATATAATAAATTATATGTATAATATGTATTATTTAATGTTATATATAATATAAATTACAGTCACGTTATTTTCACGTGTTGTTTTCCTACTCTTTCCTGTCACGAGACTTTAGTTACGGTTTTAATTTTCTTTACATATACAACGAACTGTCTCAAAATCGCTTTTCATTATTTACTCTCTCGATCTTATCGATTCGACTTGACTCGATGAACCAACCAACCAATCGGCAACGCGGAAAAGAGGCAACAATCAAGATCGATAGAATCGATTCTGATTATTTGCACACGCCTTTTCTGGTAGGAAGCAATTGTTTCGCGTTCCTTTGTCTGATTTGGACAATATTCGTACGTGCATCGGAAACGTCAAAACTAGCGACAGGCGATCGTCTTGATGTAGATATTAATTGACCCCGTCATTGGAATTAACGCGCCGATATTCGTAATTGATGTCCGCTGTTTCGCGTTGCTCCACATCGACGTACATGCATAATTATCCCAATATTATACGCTCATCTCTGTCCGCTATTTCGCGGCATTCGATCATCTGAGTGGTACCGTGAGTGCTACTCGGTAACCGAAGCATCGAGAGAGAGAAAGACAGAGTGAGAGAGAGAGAAGTGATCATATAGAAGCATTCGAGTAATCGATTTAAAGGATTACAAACGCATTAGCATGATGCCTCTCGTCTGTGATGTTTACATAACGGTCAGTATTACTGTACTTGCGACCTTCGTTAACAAATAGTATTAACGAATAGCAAAAAATAGTGTATTATCTTAAAAAAAAAAATGTACACATTTTCTTCAAAATACATGCTTATTAATTAAAGATAAAGAATCCATCAGCCGCGCATCGCCGTCAACAACATGCGAAATAAAATCTCGATGATAACGACTCAAAAAACGTACCGAATCACGAACTAGCGCGACGGCCACCGACAGACTGAGCTACATTCTTAACAACGTTACTACTCCGAAAAACATTTCCCCACCGACGTCTCAACATATCATGCGTAAACATTGCAAGAACGCCTATGTTGCTTTATACAACTCCAAAAACGGGAAATAAGGTTTTAGTTTATCCCGTTTAGTTTATCCGTGTCCGACATAACATTAATTGAATAATCTTGTATTTTGATATGAATCATTTCGAACACGGATCTTATAAATATAAAATGATTTTTCCGAAATTTTTATTGATTTTCTTTAAGGTTACAACAATATTTCTTTACATTCCTTTTCCATATCTTCTCATATCTAATTTTAAAGCTGGGAGTCGATTCTGTATCACGCAGTATAGTGAAAATTACAAAAGTGAGTGAATTTACTAAAATATCTATGATCTTGTTGATCATCAACAAGTAAATTTGTTCACTTTTGTAATTTTTACTACATTGTATGGACATAGGGGGTCGATTCTGTATCATGTAATGTAGTGAAAATGACAAAAGTAAGCAATTTTATTAGTTGTTTACCAATAAGATTATAGATATTTTAGTAAATTCGCTCACTTTTGTAATTATCACTACACTGCGTGATACAGAATCGACCTCCAGAATCGACCCGTTGATTCGAAGGCTCGATTCAGTTTGCTTTTTCAATTGATATAAACTCGACTTGAAAGAGACCGGTTTGGAAAATTCGACAGTGTGGATTCAAACTCGGGATTTCCCGCTCGCAACCATCGCACTCAGACCGTGAGACCATTGAACCGGTGTCTCCCATATTTATTATACTTATTATAGATTATTAAATATTATGATCAAATTTTATAATTGGATATGTAATAACAAATCGTTTGATCTTTCGTAAAATAAACGGTTTTTTAATGAAACCTACTGCGTAATAATTTTAGGCAATTTCCGAAAAAAATATTTAAAAATTAATATTTTACGACAAACATTAAAGTAAAAGAGTATATATATATATATATTAGATAATTTATATAAATAGAACATTTAATCTTTACATAGCAAACAAAATCTAATAATATATCATAAGTTGTGTGTCTAAATAAATTTTTTTTAATTTGTTTTTATTTTTATATCTTTTTTAGCTAAAAATAAAATATATCTTATAATACTTGTGAAATATATATTTATGAGCAATCGATATATCTTAAGTTGTAATAAACATGTTTGTTGATTGCTTCACTGTCAGAGGTCGTTACTAGTATTGCTCAGCCGGCATTTTGGTTAGGTCGATAATTCGAATGATTCGAGATGTTTCCATGTTTCGGTGGAAACGTGGTACAACAATCAGCAAGAAAGAAGTTTTGACGATTGATTTGTTGCGACTGATCGTAAAAAAGGACAAATTGTTATATTTTTGTGCGACGTAATTGTAATAAACAATGACGGAAGAGGAACAATATGATGGAATGTTGTTGGCTTTAGCGCAACAACATGAAGGCGGTGTACAAGACGTGAGTTTCTTTTCGATTGAGGTTAAGACGGCATGAGATATTTCACTGCTTTTTATACAAAATATACACAAAATTTTCTTTTTTTTTTCTAGTTATTAGATACTATCTTCAGTTTTCTATCGAGAAAAACAGACTTTTATACTGGCGGTGGCGAAGGAGCAGCTGAAAAAGTAAATTTTGTTTCTTGGAAAACTATGAGATTACATATTGGTATTCTAGAGCTTAAAACTCAACTAAATTGTTGTTTTTTTTTTTTATGTAGCTTGTGATGAGCAAGTTTAAAAAACATCAAGCTAATGCTTTAGCTAAAGCTGCTTCTGAGAAAGCAGAAAGAGCAGAGCAGGAGAGACGACGCAAGGAAAGACTTGAAAAGAAAAGAAAGGAGGAAGAAGAAAAAGCGGCAGAAGATCAAGAAATAGATAATGATTCTAGAATAGTTGAGTTAACAGATGAACAGGCTGTTAAATTACAAAAAGAAATAGATAACAAGGTATGCACATTGCAGACTGATGTTTCATTCTTTTTAGACTCAGTAGGTGAGATATGATAATTCTAATTGTTTTGACTTTTTTTAATTTTGATTTTATAGAAAATGGCACAAGAAAGTGCTGTTCCAGGACCTAGTGGGAATCATAAGAGCGAAGCGAAAGATAAATCTAGTGTTGAAGAAGAAGATGCTCAAGATGAAGAGGACGAAAAAGAAAAAAATAAATTGAAACCCAACAGCGGCAATGGGGCTGATATGCCAAATTATAGATGGACCCAAACTCTGGGAGAAGTAGAGGTAAGTGTTCTTTTAATCACACACACAATTTTTATCATCAGCTTTTTTTCTGGTTACATATAAACCAGAAAGTGTTCGGCTTACATGGGCTATTCGGCACACATTGCTCTCAGTGAATTTTATGTTTGCTGGGCTTATACTTTTTGATAAAGTAGACTCCAAATAAAAAAATTAAGTGGCAAGATTCGAATCAGATATCGGTTAACTCTAATGTCAACCTATTGAGCTATTTTTTGTTTTGTTATACATTAGTATGGAAATTTTATCAATTGCACATGAGGGGTGTAATTACAAAATCAGTAATTTCTATGTTTTAAAAGTTTTGAGTTATCATGTTCTACATGTAGTTTAATATCTAATCTACACTGTGATAGTATATGTTTCTAAAGCAGAATCTTATTTAAATTAATATTTAAAAATAAATAGTCATTGCACAACCAGTAAACTTTACTTGGTGCCAAAGTAGTTTTATAAAACAAATTTAATAAGAAAAAAAATATTTACTATTTTTAAATATTTTTTAATAACTTTATATAAATCTCTCACTGTTTTGCTACTTTTTGTATCTAAAAACAATTTAGATTTACATATTTTGATGACAATATTGGTATCAAAACAAATGATAAAGTTGGGTTAAAATATCATTTAGCGATATTATTTTTCTGTGATATCAATATCATATCGATGTGGTACCAAAAGGTAGGGTGAAATAAAACAACTTTGTGATATATTTGACAGTTTCTTGTTGAATCGACGATTAATTAATACGCAAATAATATCACAGACGCGAAAAGCGATCGACGCGACCGCCCCTCATTACTTTTCCATTTATGTTTAATCCTGGAGTAATATCTCAAGACAGAAATCCAGGTTTGATTAAGACAACTTGTTAGTAAGAGTTAAATTACGGATCCTAAATAGGCATTTTACTATTTCGGTTTCTCTTCTCGTCGATTGCTTCAGAATGTTCGTCGGTGTTTCGTTAAAATGAGATTCGAAATTTCGTTTGGACGACAAGAAATACTCCAGAGATTACTTTAAATTGTTTCTCTTTCGCGTTAGCTCTCGAAACGTAATTTACAGTGAACGGTAAATCGGTCGAGAACCAAGAACGAGAAACGTCGTTACGGTAAAAACACATTTCATTTGGAGCAATCGCGAACTCCGCATCATGTATCACTGTCGTCCGTAAACCCCTTACCACATATATCTTCTTCTCATGCGAGAACAATATACAGTGTGCAGAAGGACGGTGGTCATAACCACGTCTAGAACGGTGAAGAAATGTTTTTTTTTCTTTTAGAGAAAGTTGCTGTGCGCACTCTTCTACATGACAAGCGCTACGTAGTAAGGGGAGGGGTTAATTAACATAAAACATTACAATATTCCGTCGAATCGTGCCTCGCAGTACGATTCGATGAATTCCAGTTAGTTCCAGCATAAATATACGCAAGGCTATTTTTCTCCCAACGCGAGGATCTCGTTAATCCCTTAACACAGTACGTCGCACTCATTACACAAATGTAATTACTGATTTTTACGTACCACACTTCTGTCGCGGTGCAATACAGAGCAATATATATATGTATATATTTATAATATACTTAAAATAATGCTAACCGCGTCGCCGGAAACGTCTGCCTAACTGGCGCGGTTTGAACAGCTCTAATAACGCAAATGTACATATACATATAAATACGAGTGTAACTCGGATCGTTAATGTATCGTGACTGAATCTATCATGCGCGTCCTCTCCTCTTTTCTCTTTCTCTTGTTTCTGTGGAAACGATTTTCCCGATTCCGTCGAGATCTTCTCTCGTTTCTTCTTCGCTATCCGTTTCTGTCACGATGATCGTCATTCACGGTCACTTGTCATCGCCGCCACTGCCACCGCCGTCGCCGTCGCCGTTGCCGCCTCTTCAGCCTCCCGTCACCCTCGGCCTAGTTGTACTTGTCGCGAGCCCTCACTGCAATCAGAGGTAAACACCGGTGAGAAGGTTTGTGGATGGTGAATCCGCGAAGATCGCGCGCGCGCGGTGTTGAAACACTGGTAGATGTGGCAATAGAAGTTTACACGGCCGTTGGTGCAGCAGATACTCACTTTCCATGTAAAGGATCCCGGCCAGCAGACCAACCATGAATAGAAAGCTCATGGTGCATACGAGCACAGTGAGCTGATTCCGCGCGCACCAAGACTTCCTATAGACTTTGACCGGTCTGCCGAGACCGTTGACGACCGTGAAGTGGGTGCTGCTTGCCACCGAAGCGGTGTCCATCTGTTTTGGTGTCGTCACCGTGGGCGGGTGTATGGCCGCGAGATTTGCCAAATTCGCTGCGGTGAGCAACAACGTTCCCGAGGCCGCGCTCTATAAACACAAAAGATTTATAATCTCAGATTATTATTATTTCGTAGAAGTGTAATTATGAGAGAATAGAGCGATTCTCTCATATCTCGCGCTTTTGAAGACGCAAGCTAGTGCAGAAATTCAAGTATTATCATTTTTATACCACGGGACTGATTAAAATTTCAAATTTTATATCCTCAGTGTGTGTTGTAATTGAAATTATTTGCAAGATTTATCGGCAACGTATCTATCGAATGCGATAGATCTAAACAAGATAAAATGGTTTTGCGCAAAAAATTTGCATCGGAATTGTAATTATGAGGTTTAGTAATAATAATTAGATGTTTATATTGAATATTTAAAAGCGCGGTTTAATTTTAATTTAAAATTGCAAGCTATTTTGTTTTTTTTTTTTAAATTTTCATGCAAAGAAGACGAAATTTACGTGTGTACTGGCGGTGGATCCTTGAGACGACGTCGACCCTCTCGAGGGGGAGTTCGGATGCAAGTGATGAGCCCAGCTTCCATTTTCGCTGTCTCTCTCGCTACGTCCGACCAAGGACGGCCTTGGGATATGCCAGGAAAGCGGGTTGGCGGCTACCGCCGTTGTCGTCACCACCGCCGTCGTCTCGATCTGAAACCAACGTAAATTGACGTGAAGCTTCGATTGCATAAGCGATAATGCTATGCCGATTGCACTTCTACTCTCTCGCCCGCATGTCCTCCACCTGCGGCCGCGTGTCGTTTATCTGTCGTCAGAAAACTTCACATACAGCTACGCCATATTATCGTACATTTAAACGCATTAAACGCTGGGAAGAATTTTTTCTTTAACAAAATTGCGTATGTATCAGTGTGATCCTTTTATTGCACCGATGATTAATTTACATACTTTTGTCCAATCGACATACATATCGCGAAATCGGATTCGGGATTGACGTTTTGCGAAGGCACGTTCGACCTGATTATATTTGCATTTCCCGCGTACAGACGCACCTGCATTTCCCATTTATTATTCAGAACATTTTAAAGATAACTTGTTACTGCAACCTTGTCACGTTTCATCTTGGCTTTGAGAAATTATCGCAATAGTGCTTTCTATCTCAACATGGGTTACTTAACACTTGTATGTGTTCATATCAGTTCTACTGTTTACTGTACCAACGGGTACAAAGTAAAAGAACTTTCCAATGTAAACATTACTTATGTTTTCCCGCATTTTTTTCTCCTGATTGAGAATTGCGCGCGAAAAAAAAAAACATAAATGCTTTCTGCGTGAACAATGTCGATCGCGCTCATTCGAAATCCATCGTCTTCTTTTTTTTTTTTATTTTTTATTACACGCGATTTAAAACGCGCGGCGTTAAAGCACAAAACGGCGTATATCGCGCGAAAACATTTTTCTGCTCCCACTCTTTCTTCCCGCGAGAAGAAGATTGACGAGAATTTCGGCGTCTCCCGGGGGCGTGGAACACCTCGACATTCCGGTTTGATCGTTGCACAACGCTCGTTGTGCTCTCGAATTCCGCGCGCCGCGCCACTTCGCGCGTTAAGTTCGCCGCCGTTGTTTTTACATCTCGTATCTTCATGAGAGACACGACCGGCGTCGTCATTGTCGCCTTTTCACGCTTCCTTCGCACGCCTGGCGAACTCTCCGACCACGTAGCGTAGCAGATCGATTTCCGCGATTTCGCGCAGAGCAAGGACAACGCGACTCTACCCCGCGTTGCATACGTATGTTGATTACGCGAGTTAATTGGCAATTTTCTCACGTAAGTCAAGTGCATTTTGTATCGGTGTGGCCTACCTTCGCGACCGGGCGCCGCCCAAGGACTGTGTCCGCCGCAAGACTGGACGAGTTTGCGCGTTCTTTTTCGTCTCCAGTGTCGGTTTTTTCAAGCGCACACTCGTGCTCGTCCCAACCGGTCGCGGCGACTCTAATGGAACCACCGTGCGGTTTCATACTTGCTGTTTTGCATAACGTTCGCGAAGCGAATAAAGAAGATTTAATCAAACCGGGTTCAAGTCAGTCATGTGCGCTAAGTCATGTGTACGCACGCGAGAAACCAACGCACTCGATACTCTCGTAAATTTTTATTTACGGCGTCAATTATGGTCTCTCTGGCAAAAGAGGTGTCTTATTTTTAGAAATGATATACATTAAGAACCCGCGAGTTCAAAAAAGGGATATTAAGTTTTTTTAACGACTTATAGCGATGATTTTTTTTTTTTTTTGGATATCCGTCTAATGAATTTGCTTCGGGTAGCTTATAATTATATTGGCTTTATTATACGTAATTATACGTATTATTTCAATTTACTTTAAAAGTCATTGCTCGCTGAAACGATCGTACGAAAATTGGCATATATTACGGAGCGGTGTAATACGGTTTTACCATACAATTGATTCACTGCTTCCTGTTTATTGTATCCTTGTAGTGTACAACATACGTCGGTATGATAATAATAACAACTTTATTGAGCACAGCTGTGAGAGTGAATACAAACAATGATAATATAAACAACAAGTTTATATATTTATTATGTTTAATTATTTTTGAATCAAGATTTCACATACTTTTCCATCGGATAAAAGAGTGCGGTAGAAAAACGATTCCGTTATAAAACCATTTATGTTCAAAGATGTAGACTCGATTTTGACACATCTCGCCAAGCATTGTACAACTGTTCGTGACGTGAAAAAGAGAATTATTCGCGAAAAACGTCGAACGCAGCAAAGAATTTCGTAACGAAATCATCGGTGCCAAAGTCACGACACGGTGACAGGTATATTTCTTTGCAAGTCGATATCTTGAAAAATCCTGCGCCGCGCGAGAGAGCAGAAAAGGTGGGAGGGACCGCGAATAGCCGGATAAGGGACGAGAAAGATATACCGATGGAGAGAACGGCGAAGCTTACGCGCGGTGAGGAGTCGTTAGGAATTTTTGTGGAACTCAATACACTGGTTATCCTCGAAGCGCCGCACCTGTGCCGGGCCCACGTAACGCGATACCCTGAAACGGATTTTGAACTCGTATGTGTCTGGAGAGCCGTGTTTCCGAGAGGTGTTAGAATTCAATTTTTTCCTTCGCAGGAAGTTGCGAGCGGTAGCAACACTTTACTCGATACTTTACAGGACTTTAATATCGAAATAAATCAAGATATAATATCTCGAGTGTCGTTCTCAATTCGCTCGAGACACCCATTTAACATGCGTGTATCATAAAGAAAATTCTTTAATTAAAGAGAACAAGTCAAAAAATATAAATCCTCTCTCATGTCTTATCACGTTAAATGCGATAAAGATATATCAGAATTACATTTTAATCGGTATTAACATACGAAAGGCAGAAGTAGCGACGTTTATGCGTCTCTTCTTATTCGCGGTCGACGGGAAGAGTAATATCGCGCGAGCAAAGAAACTTGGAATGTCCTTGGAATGTGTCGGTATGATTAAGGCGCGATATTAAGTTTGATATCGGTGCGCATGTTGGATATTATGAAAATGCACACCCCGGCTCACGCGATATCCCCATTAATTTCGAGTTTTTTTTTTCTTTCTTTTTTTTTTCTTTTAAAGCAACGCTATTCCTCATCTCTACCGTATTCCGCGTATAATTACACGCTGTCGTCGTGCGGCTCCTTATCTTTCTAAGAATGCAATGAGAATATCTTTGCCGCACGAGGCAAAGTTTTTTTTTCATTAATACACAGCAAGAACACATAATTATCTATTGAGGCGTTATCTCAGTATTCGGAGCAAGGCTGTATTCGTTTTAGAAAAACTTTTATAGGTATGTACTTCATCGAGACGCTGCATTCAACGGAACACGTGGTTACACGGGATAAATGTCAAACGCCGGTTAAAATAACTCGCGCGGTATTAAATGGTTAATAATGCGGCGTTTAACGTTCGCAATGCCGCATATGGCACCGCTGTAATCATCGTTATTGTCCAATGTAAACGTCCTCATTAAAAGACAGCACGCGCTCGATGTACTCGAGTCGTTAACGGAAGATTTCTTTGTCGTCAACATCTTGCGATCGCAAAACGGTAATGTTCGTAATGAACGTCGCGCGCTTTTTCCGTTCCGCGCCTCATGAATCTATTTATTCGCATTGACATTACGTTGCTAAGTGTGTGTGTGTATATGTTCGTTATCTCTAAACGCTTGTTAAATAAATACCGCGCAACGTCGTAAATCCGCGGAATTTCCTCCGAGAGTCCCTTCTCCTCTTCCTGTATTATGTAAGGGTAGAAAACCGGTAACGTACACCGGTGGAATTTAATATTGCCACGGGGCACGCGAGTAGATTGACTCATTAATTGACGACGCGATTACGAACGAAAATTACGTTCGATATATCGAAGGCGCGCGCGTCTATGTCAGTCTGAGCACTTGAGGACACGTTATCGATGACCCCCGCGATAGTCCATTTCGCACATAAGCAGCGAACTCGCGTCACCTCGCCGGATGCGTGAGCGCTAATGAGCGTAAAAAGATATATGTTACAAGGTAGCGATAACAGACTCCCAGCGACCTTGTGCATCTTGTGAGACGGATTATTTTACACTTGCCTCATCGCGAACTGCTTAGATCTATCGAACCGACGGACGAACAGAATTCGTCCGAGGAACAAACATCTGAGATTATTTACATTATGTATTTGACGCGTATATTGTATCTTATAATTGGTTACTTTTACTTACATAAAAGTATGTAAACATAAATATACATAAAAATACATAAAACGCGAAGAAGAAAAAATAAATCACAAAATCCGTCTTCGTGAGGAACGCATTAATGGAGTATTGGAGATAAATCTTATTTCTTACGGTACTTATATTGAGACGTAGCAGTTAATAAGGCTCAAATTTTTTCACAAACTTTTGTATATTTAGTGTTTTATTATTTTTTGCGCGCCGTTTCGCTCGTAACATTTATCAAATATACAATCACTTTTTTTATATACATACAATCGTTCCCACGATTGAAATAATCTAGTGTTGAAAGAGTTGGGACGCTTAGCGTATTTAGCTGGAAGGAATCGATTCTTTGTATGGATAATTGAAATTTCAATATACGTACGAAGATATAGTAGACTTGAGTATTAATGTGAGTATCTAGAAGCACATTCTGCATTGTGCACGATATAACGAACGTACAGGTCTTACATCATAATATGTCAAAGCATGTACAGCGTGTACTTTACAGCGGTTGGTATGAATATAAATTGCCTTTCGGATTTAAGTTTACCGAACAATTAAACATTTTTTCACGCGACAAGCAATTAAGATTGCAATATTGTTACATACACGTGCGTGTATGCTCTGTCAAGTGTGAGTGAAAGGTTATCAGCGCGAACAGTTTCGTTCTTTTGCAGTCTGCACCACTTTTTTTCCAAGCATATTATTCAAGGATATATGTTTATAATAGCGAGTAAGATACTATGTGGTTTATCATAAATCTACCGTGCCACTCTCCGCGTTCGTTGAGTTTATAATGTAACGCCTTCATTAGAACTGTCGTCAGCTATAGTAATGAAGACATCAGTGGTCTAGATCTGTTTTATGCGAATGCAATTAATCTCGGTCTTAATTGTAACTCACTCGCGTGTGATCACAATTGTCCA